TTGCTGTTATAGACTGTTAAGTTAGTTATCAAGTTTGGAGGACATGTTAGGGGGGGGGGGGGGGAACTTTATGACTAGCTTCTGTACAAGAAGTGATAAAGCACTTTTCATGAACTGATATGTTAGGGTGTGTTACATGAATACAAACTGCAATCGTGGACAAAACTCTTGATGGCACTTTTTCACACATGGTCAGCAAACAAAAACACGGTATAGGTAGGTATAGCAATCAAGGTGTACTCAGTTCACAAAAGCTGTCACCAGTGATCAATACTAGTGATGTTAGAGATAAGGTCTTCATGATGCAGCATAAGAGCCTGGCAAGCAAAAACAGTTTTCATCACAATTAATATGAGCGGCACTTACCATAATTAGATGGTATCAGTCCTGTTTTGTTCCCAACCTTGGCTTTCCACCATGGTCCAGCACTCTGTTAAAAAATATTGAACATAATAATAAAATATAAGATTATGATCATTTTTAACTAGTTCTGTATTGACAGGTACTGTTTGTTTTAGAATGTCACAACGTTGAGGAATATAACAACTCACAGACATTTAGGCCAAAAGAAATGATGCAACTGGAAGATATGTGTATTTATCATAACAAGAGATGTCAATTGAGGTGGCTTCCCTCATAAGCCTGGTGACTTTTTTGGAGATCTCCTCTCTCTAAGTTTATGAACTTTCAAAATTTATGTTAACCATGTCATGCAGAGGTAGCCTGCCAAGAACAGATTCAGAAAAACCAGAAACAAGGGCTGAACCATCAGATGACATGACAACTTGAAGAGAAACAAGAGCTTGCCCTTGATGCTATTTTCTTCGTTCTGGGAGTTTGATGATGAAAATGCAATAAGACTCAAATGACAACTTTAAAATACCCTAGTCAATAGAGGAGGTCGGAAAAAATAGCCCCTCTCCCTAGTGCCTACGCCTACAGTCTACAGTCCAGATCTTTTGTTATAACTGTGAATGAAGGTTAATGTCTAGTTTTCAGTTTATCCCAAATAAAAATATTTGAAAAACTGCAAAATTTATACTTTGACATTGATTCTTTTGGAGGTACAAAGTTTATCTCCCCACTTGGGGAGTAAAGTTCAGTTATAAAATTTAATTAATGTATGAAAATTTGATCCATGTTTGTGACTCTGTTTGACAAAGGTAAATTGAAAAAGAATAAACCTATGCGAGGAAAGAGAGAGAATTGACCAGGGACTGCAGAGGGGGGAGAAATGGTAGCACTATAGCCCTAGAACTGATTTCTTAGGGCTCTAGATGCATGATAAATGGCAGAGCAGTGATCCCTAATGCTTGTTGTTCTTGGCCATATTCTTTAGCCCTACCAGTTTAAAATGGTTACCACAGTCCCGGTGCACAAGTTTAGGTCTTCTGTTACAAAGGGAGACAAAAAAACGCTCTTTCCAAATATCTCACCAATAAAGACATTGTATTTTTTCTGGAAAACTAATGTTGGGAAAACCACTTTGCACCTTAACAATCAATGAACCCGCAAGTAAGCTCATGTATGTTACAAACAAAACTAATCGTTAATTTCCGGTACACGTACTCGCGTAGGAATGAAAGGTTTTTACTGTTATAAAACAGAGGTCACGCTTAAAAATACCCTTACATGTATGTGTAATATTAGATTATGAGACCACCTAAGTACGTAAGCTAGATAGCATTCCAACACTGTCTTTACTTGTGCTCAATATTCAGCTAACACGTAAACTGAATTTGTACGTTACCCTATCGACTATGTACAAAATATCTCCTTCCTCAAAACTGATCTCGTCTGGCTGCAAAAGAAGAGAATGAAAACGGCAAATAAAGTCAGGTTAAAACAAAACCAGTATTGTGGCGCTGTTTATGTTGTAAGCTTGTATACGATCGAAACTAGGGAGCTATCGATCGAAAGAAGCCACTTGAATCCGAATATTTCAGTACCTGTTGAGCTGTATAATTGTACAAAGCCCTCACAACCTGCACATGACCTGAAGACAGAACATCAAAGTACCGTGAAAATTTGAAAAGAATTAGCAAAAATCGCTGGATTTTATCATACCTGGTCTGGGAATTGGAGGGGGAGGCCTTCTCGGTCCAGACATTTTGAAAGCGTAAGTATTAGGAAGTAAATGATGCGCGTGCGCCTGTTTTTATGAGCCAGCAGGAAGCGTGCGGTAAATCCAAATGAATATGTATACTTCATGTAAGTCACAGAAGCTATTAAAATCAATATGGCGGAAAATGTGCGTCTCGATCTCTCAAAATTTATAGAAATCCCTGCCAGTTGGGGCGTCTTCAAGTGGTTTCATTGTGATGGATAAACTTGAAGAACTGTATTCTATTGCATTTAGCTGTAACTGTTTCGAGGAAGCCTACAAAAGGGGAATTTATAACGCGCAGGGAGAGTTGTTCCAAACTTTGAGCTTCAGCTGGGAAAATGACGACATCGATTCAATATTGCTAGCTCTTACTGTGGTCCAAAAGCTTTCTGACAGACTTGGAACACTTCGATGTACATATTTAAAGATTATTGTAGATGATCTGGTCTCCAAGAACCACGTAGTGGATGATTTGTTAAAATATCTGGATCACAGAAATCAGTATGTTGTCTTTTCTGCTTCCAAAGCCATTGTGCTAGTTTTTCAGGCGCTTCCCAAGGAAATGATAAAAACACAATGGTTTCAGACGCTGTTTAATTTTGGTAAAGAAACTAAACAGCCTTGGAGAAAGCTTTACACCATGGAAGTATTGAATAAGATTCTGAAAAATTCTAGAGAAACTCTCAAGAACAGTTATGAAAATTCCCAACAACAGGCCATCAATCAGATGTGCTCCTGCTCACATGAAGCAGGTAGTGCATGTTTGATTAGTACTACTGTTTCAAGAACTGAGCTGGTTGATATGTTGTTGGGGAGTTTAAATTTGCAGCACATCTTGTTTTACTACCTTCCTTTTATTGTGCGACCAAATGGAATGTATTCTTTTCTGAGAAGCTGTCAACAAGTTGGGCCTGCTGAAGATTTTGTTGTGCTTCAGGCAAGTCTAAAATTAGGTGATGCAATTCACAGTCAAGAAAACGTGAAAAGAGAAGCCATTAGAGGAATGAAAGAAAATGACTTAGTTGCATTCTTGCACTGTATTACAGAGCTGGCAAAATATTTGGAAGTCAGCAGAACACTTCAGAATAAGTCTACAGCCGATACAAAATCTTGGAGTCAAGAAGAAAATTACTTGCTAAGGTCCCAAGAGCCTGGATCACAAGAGTTCTATAGAACAAATACAGTTGAACTGTGTGAAGGTAAAACTGATTCTCTATGTGTAACTGAGATGGCCATAACCCATGTAAAGGATGTTACTGTCAATCAACTTTGCACTGTCATGGCAACCTTGATCCAGTACCTTCATTATCCAAGACTACCATCGCTGATTTTCAAGAAGATTTTGGAAGTTTTGAATCACGTGGTAGTTATACCTAACTCATTTATGTTCAGGCAGAAAACCAAATGCACAAAACTGGAGAGGATAGTAAGGAGCTCTTCAATATCCTTTTTAAGTGTTGTTCAATGTTGTCTCTTTGACAAAATACCGAGATGTTCAGGATTTGTTGGATTCAGTGGAACAGAAATGAAGAGTCCCTCAGAATCTGTGTGCAACAAAGTTAGCAGCACTGATCTTGTTGCACTACGGAAGGCTTCACTGATGGTTTTTAAGTCTTCTTTTGTTATGCTGAAGTTGGCCAAAAAGCATGAAGGTACTTATATATGTACATGTATGCAAATTATCATAATTACTGCAAAGTTAGTTTGATTGCACAAGAGCAAATAATCATGTTTTTTTCCCNAAAAAAATAACTTCTTATATTTATTAAATTGTTCTGCAAAATATGCTGAATTATTTCTGATTTGATCTATGCCTTTCTTCTGGTTCCGTTAAATCAAAATGAAGACAATAAAATGTGTTTGGTGATGTTGTAAATATGTGGATGTATACTGGCACTACATGCTGAGCATATTAGATTTATAATATTTAAGAAATAGAAACATGTTCTGTATTTCTATCTAGTTATAAAAAAATGAGTAGAAATTTGAGAGAACAAGAAATGCTGTGGGAACATGAGCTCAACTTTCATGAGTGTCACTATAACTCCATAGAAAGAAAGAGAATGTTTTTTATTCCTTTAAAAAAAAACACCCAGTAAACAGGGGTTTCATTAAAGGCTAGGTACCAGCAAATTGATTTTAGATTCTTACAGGGTAAAAATTATTGTAAAAGCTTAATATCAATATTTTTTTAAATATCATTATTTGTAAAATCCTTTTGCAGGTTCATTGTTATTTCAGAATATGTCCCTTTCCTGTGTTAGCAAGTGGTGTTCAGAAATTTTCTCTCTTGCTCCTGATGCTTGTTGGAATGACAAGTCCAACAAAGAAAGTTCTCACAAAAGTGAATTTCATAACTGTCTCGTGGCGCTCTTTGTTGATCAAGATGATGATCTTGTGGAAGTTATGTTGCTTCTCCTTTTACTTTTTCAAGAAATTCACCAGTAAGTGTTATTGCTAAAGCAAAGTTATTAGAGTGATTTTCAATTGAGTGTCATAAAACCAAAACCGAAGTTATCACTCTAGCCAACCACTAAGGACACAGACAATACAGTAAACCAATCAAAACTCAAAGTAATTAGAGGAAGCTGATGCAAAGCACGGGAAAACGTGTGAGAACGACTTGTGATTGGTTTATGTTTTACTTTTGATTGGATGAACAAGTGGTACGAGTTTTTCAAGCCAATCATGTAGCGAAGTGAATGCAAAACAAAATACCTTTCGACACTCAAATGAAAACCACTCTAACTAAAGACATGCTTCCAGCAGTCTTCTTTACCTATTTTTAGTAGACTGCTGGAAGCATGTCTTTTCTCTTGGGATCAAACAAGTGTTTTTCAGTGGATACAAGTACAACAGGGGTATCATCATTAAGGACCAGGCACTGGCCAAATTGACTGGCTCTGAGGATGATCTTGCTTATCTGTTTTGACCACCTAATGGAAAGTTTCTCATTTAAAGAGGTTCAGTTCAAAACATTTTGCCCGACTATGAAAACCAGTTTCCCCCTTGCTGAAAACATCAATGAAACCCTTGATACGAAGGGGCGGTATGTTTTTCTTCTTGTGAGTCCTGCATCCAAGTCTTGTCCCAATCGGTTCTGAAACGACTCGCCTCATAATCCCCACCTGATTTTGACAGAAACAGACTGTCAGCAGTCTACAACTGTTGTAAAGTAATTGGACTGAGTGGAGAAAGAGAAAGTAATCAAACAATGCTTGAAATGTCAGCTTCAAAAACTCACTACACCAATTAATTCAGAATTTAATTAGTTAGATTAATATCAGAATGAAGAATTTTTCTAAAGATATGATTAAGAATCTGATAAAGGGGTTTAAAAATTACTTTGACTTTGTAGGATTGTTAATCTTACCAATTTGTTACAGTTACATTTTCCTTTCGCTACAGAACTAAAATATAAATTTTTCTTTGCAAATACAGTACAAGAGAAGAGTAACATGTTATTTTTCAGGCTAGCATTTCTCTTTTTTCTTTGTCAATGGCATCTTTATAACTTTAATACGTATATTCATTCAACTTGGTGAAAAGTCAGAAAATAAGATGTACCAAAAATTCTCAGGTTTTCCAAATTTTATTGCAAGGTCTGTTTTAGTGTAAAATCACAGGCCTTTATATCAAAACTACTTCTCTTCTCTTAATTTTTCAGAACTGTTCCTAGCTGTGGAGAAATGTCAACAACCATTTTACGCCAGTTGAACCCACACTTGCTTTTCATCTCATTTGCTGAATCAGTTGAGTTCGATCACTCGTTCCTGCTCGACCTTCTGATTTCGTCAGAGACTCGATTTCTGGAATACCTTGTGCAGTATCTACACTTTGTGATTGCTGGATGGAGTTCATTTGTGCAGTGTTTGGTGGAGTATAAAGAAAGAATTTCTTGCACTGCAGAAGAAAGTATGAGTGACGAAGTGGGGATGTGTAGTGTGAGCCTAAGCGAGTTTGAATCTGATTCTAATTCTTCTGAAAAGTCTTCGGAGTTTGAGAGTAGTGTTGCCAACGAAATGCGCTCAAGTAAAAATGAGTCGTTGTTCGCAAGACAGGAAACCATGGCTGGTGAAGACAGACAATGTCCTGAGTTGCCAGATACGTTTCCCAGGCCGCAGAACAACAGCTATGAAAAGTGCGAAATTAGCCATGAAGTTTGTCAGTCCGATTCTCGTCTTGTGGGAGTTCCAACTGGCGAGCTTGATGGCTTGACAAGCATTGTTTTGGCGTATTCTTCAAGCGATGAATCCGAAATTGAAAATGAAGATGAAGACGAGAGTGTCAATGACAATAAAACGCCTGCTGTTTCACAGTCTGACTCCATCATTTGTAGTAGTGTTCGTTCAAACAACAACCAACTTAGTGGCTCTTCGTCTTTTGATAAAGCAGACAAAGCCGAAACGTTTCACTCAACTTTTACTGCTAAGAGCTGTTCTGCTCTTCCTCAAAATGTTTCAGAAACGCCAAGGAAACACACAAGTAATTTAAACAATTCAGCATTCTCAGAACATCCAGGCTTCTCTTCAAATCAGCCGCCCGGTGATTCGAACTTAAACGTTAATGACTGCCTCGGTGATCAAAGTTCTTCGTCGAATACGGAACTACTTCCTTCAAATGACAGAAACACAGATATCTTTATCACTAAAGAGAGTCATTTTGAGGGAAGTGTCACCAATCCAACTGCTGTTGAAAGCGAGTTATTGGACAAAGTAATGACAATGTTGATTCGTCTCAGGTTGTCAGTGACGAGGTTATCGTCTGGTGGGCATTTCCCGTACCCTGCCGTACCTTTGATATCACTGATGGAGAATGTAGAGAAATATTACGATGGTTGCTGACCTGTGTACTGCGGCTAATACTAGCGCTCTTCAAGGGAAGATGAAGGGTCGGAGAGGTTATCTTCCATATAGATCTTATTCCCATTGCCAAAGGTAATCCCTCTTGAGTTATTTTTAGAGATGGTACCCAGTTCT